TTACCCCATACATCTTCATCCCCATTGCCTATACTCTCACTAGTCTATCTATCCTCCAACAGTTGTTGATATCTTTCCCTAACTGCCTCCTCCTTTAGTTTATAAACCTTCACATCTCTCTCCATTCTCCTTGTATCCAATCTGCCTTTTACTCTCACTATAGCTATAAGTAAAAAAATGATCTGATATATTTGTGGCTCCTCTATAACCATGTACATCTTGAGGTCTACCAATGCATAGTCCAACAAACTACTATCATTTTCTCTATATCATTTCTTGCATACTTATTTTATTTTAAATATGTAATACCTAGTACGAAACACCTTTCTATGCAATGTTCAGTTAAAGGGCCCCCATTATCATTTACACCTGGCACCCCAAACTTACCTACCACACCCTCTCTAACTATTTTTCCTACTTTTGTATTTACTAGGTTCCTTACCACAATTACCCTCTCACTTGGATCAAAAGTTCCTAAACAAATCTGTCTATCTCCCTCTACACTCCACCCTTCTCCAGATTCATTCACACTTATTATGACCCACTTCTCGCATCTGACCCTTATCTTAATCCACATAATCCTTGAATTTATGCATTTGTATTCCCCTCTTCTTCTTCCATAACTGGTTCATCAACATTATTGCTGCCCCTTCCTTAGTGGCTTAATCCCATTGATTTCTTCCCACTGAAACTCACCTACCCCCTTCAACTTTGTTTTGCTTAGAGCCAGGACTTCCAACTTCTTTTCATTTATCATATTGGCAATTATGTATTTCTTATCATCTGCGCTACATCCACACACATTCAAACATCCTATATTTATAAAGTTTTTCAGCTTATTATTTTTAGTAATTTATTCAGAAGGGGTTATTAGCCCATTGCTCTCTATATTCACGTTATATATCATAAAAATGATATCAGTGTGACCCAGCAGTTTCACTGGATTTATTCTGAGGATGTGGTTCTGGAATCTCTGGCTAGTTTAATGCTATACTTACAGTGTGCTTGTTTAATTGGTTCTTGAGTGACTTACTAAATATTTGCATGTATACCTGGAGAGAGTTTGGGGGGACAGCGCCCCCAGCGTCCAGGCCATTTTATTCAAGTTATGTTTTCTAAAGAAACATTCTTGTATACGTTCATGTTGCATCTCCTGTCTGACAGTTTCATCTCAGTGTTTCAAGTTATCGACTCAGCAGTTGAAACAGTTTTTCATGTCTGGGTGTTACCAAGTCATCCAGTATCTGGAAACACTGAATATCTCCTCGGGGACTCCATTTTCTAAGAGAAATAGGACAGTCAATGTTATGGTAACACCACAAACTGTGGAGAATCACACTAGACTATACTTCACCACATTTATTTCAAGAAACGTGTATACACGAGTGGCATCATCAGTCTTAATGAGGACTGATGAAACATCTCGTGGCGGAACGTTTCATTAATAAAATTTCCAGAACTTTACAGAAATGCCCTTTTCTCCAGAAAAAAAAATTATTTTTTCCAAATTGTTCGTTGCTTAGTGTAAGTTTGTTAGCCTTTCTTTTCACACCTTTATAATATAAACTTCGTCTTTATAATGCTATCTAAGAAATGTTTTATATAAAGTAAGAATGTTGGTAAGTGTTTCGTGGTCGATGTTTCTGACTGTGAAGCCAAACATTCCCTTAGATTTGCTGTTTCCTCATAGTTGTATTGTTTGGTACTTTTGAGCTGTTAAGTATGATAATCCCAAGGTACCTTTCTTTACTTATTTATGATTTTTTTTTTGCCAAGTATTTTGTATTCATGTCTGAGATTGTTATACACAAAATATATTACTTTGCACTTGTCGACATTGAAACTCATCGTCCACATTCCAGACTACAGCATCAACCTGTCCAGAAAGTTGTGAATGTTCGTAACAGCTTGACAAAGTTCCTGGAGAGCGAAATGTTGCCACAACAAAATGTTACATTTGTTGTGTATGTTATATTTACCTAACATTCTGAATACTCAGAAGAATCTCTGTGGATGCTGCAGTGTTTTCCCGATTTTAAATCATACTGAAGATTTTGCTGTCCTAGATGTTAACCTGATGCCAAGAGGACAGCGCTAAAACCGATCCCCCGGGGAACTCCAGTCGTTATGGAAAGCCAGTGAGAACCTTGAGTATCAGTCTGTGGTTCATGTCAGTGAAGTAGTCACTTATCCAGCCATGAAGGTTGTCTCTTGTACTTTGTGCTTTTATTTTGGCCATCAGTCTTCCATGATGTACGTTTTCATAAGGTTAGGTTAGGTAAGGTCTATCAGGAAAGAGGACAAGTGTTTCCTGACGCTGGACTTAATCATATGATGACCCACCGTTGGAGCTTTTGGTTACCTGACCGAGGCCTTCTGCTGGATTACCGGTCCACCACTTTAAAAATTAGGGTTATGACCATACCGAATACGCAATATATTTTTGTCATAAATCTTCTGAAAATCTAGATAGTCTTATTTGATGGAAAATTCTCATTCTGGATCTTACAAATGTAATTGAAAAATTCAATTAAGTTAGTCGTAATATTTTTGGTGTGGAGTCTCTGTTGGTTTCCATTTACAAGGTTTTAGTTGTCCAAAAAATAACTGTTCGTGTTCTTAATAACAGTTTTCTTTGGGTAACACTTGTGGGTAACACTTGTTAGAATTGAGACACTTATGCAACGTATGGGAATCTTAAATAAAGATTCCCACATTTTGCGTAAGTCTCTCAATTCTTCAACTTGTCGGTTTTGAAAACCATTTATCACAACACTTGTTAGTTTCCAGGTAACTGCGATGTTAGCTTCCACTAGTGACGTGTTAATATTATCATTACTGAGTAAGGGAAGTAAGGGAAGTCTCACATAACTCTGGCGGTATTACACCTCGTTATCTTGAATTGTTAATAAGTAGTTCAAATTATTTTATTATATCTGGGATGCTAGTGTTGTCAATACTTAATTTGTGGGAGTCAGACCCGACCTGAGTAAGTCATGTTCGACTCTAACAATGATCCGTTGTGTTGAGTATATTAGTCACCTTCCTGTCGCTGTTGTTTGTTATGTTGTGTAAGTTATGTTACTTACGAAGAGTTGGTGAATAGAGCACGCTAGGTAACTGTTAAGATTCAGTTGATTAAAATGCCGTGGCCCGAATATCACCTCCTCTCTGGGCTCTCATAATTAAGAAAGACCATCTCACTTAAACAATCCCTTCCGTACACCTAGTCCCCGGTTCATCTGAAGAGCCATCACTCAACTCAATCCCTTACCTCCCAACCTTACTCCCTTCCACCTCCCATCTCACTTCACTCCCAACCACTCGTCTTCCACCTCCTTCCTGCTTGTCCTCCGCACATTTCCTTCAGCCTCCAAACTCTCCCTTCATCCACGCCTACCCACCTCCCTTCCCCCTCCCACTCTCCCTTCCTCCCACCCACTCTCCCTTCCACCTCCCCACTCTCCCATCCTCCCACACCACTCTCCTTCCACCACTCTCCCACACCACTCTCCCTTACCACCACACTCCATCACACTCCCACTCTCCTCCTCCACCCACTCTCCCTTCCACCCTCCACTCTCCCTTCCTCCCACCCACTCTCCCTTACCCACCCTCCCACTCATCACCTTCCTCCCACCACACTCTCCCTTCCACACTCCACTCTTCCTTCCTCCCACCCACTCTCCCTTCCACCCTCCCCTCTCCTTCCACCCACCCCACTCTCCCTTCCTCCTCCCACCCACTCTCCTTCCTCCCACCCACTCTCCTTCCTCCCCCCACTCTCCCTTCCACTCCTACCCACTCCTCCCTTCCTCCCACCCACTCTCCCTTCCCCACCCACTCTCCCTTCCTTCACCACACTCTCTCCCCCCTCTACTTCCTCCACCCACTCTCCCTTCCTCCCACCCACTCTCCCCTCTCCCACCACCCACTCTCCCTTCCCCCACCCCACTACCCTTCCACCCACCACCTCCCTTCCTCCCACCCACTCTCTCCCTTCCTCCCACCCACTCTCCCTCTCACCCACTCCTTCCTCCACCTCTCCCCTCCTCCCACCCACTCTCCCCTCCTCCCACCCACTCTCCCTTCTCCCACCCTCTCCCTTCTCCCACCCACTCTCCCTTCCTCCCACCACTCTCCCTTCCTCTCACCACTCTCCCTCCTCTCACCCACTCTCCTTCCTCCCACCACTTCCCTTCCTCCATCCACTCTCCCTTCTCCACAACTCTCCTTCTCTCACCCACTCTCCCTTCCTCCACCCACTCTCCCTTCCTCCCACCCCTCTCCCCTCCCACCCACTCTCCTTCTTTCCCACCCACTTCCCCTTCCTCCCATCACTCTCCCTTCCTCCCACCCACTCTCCCTTCCCCACCCACTCTCCCTTCCTCCCACCAACTCTCCCTTCCTCCACCCAACTCTCCTTCCCCCACCCACTCTCCCTTCCTCCACCCACTCTCCCTTCCTCCCACCCCACTCTCCCTTCCCCCCACCCACTCTCCCTTCCTCCACTCAATCTCCCTTCCTCCCACCCACTCCCCTTCCTCCCACCCATCTCCCTTCCCCACCCACTCTCCCTTCCTCCCACCACTCTCCCTTCCTCCCACCCACTCTCCCTTCCTCCCACCCACTCTCCCTTCCTCCCCCACTCTCCCTTCCTCCCACTCACTCTCCCTTCCTCCCACCCACTCTCCCTTCCTCCCACCCACTCTCCCTTCCTCCCACCAACTCTCCCTTCCTCCCACCCACTCTTCTTCCTCCCATCCACTCTCCCTTCCTCCCACCCACTCTCCCTTCCTCCCACCCATTCTCCATTCCTTGACTTATCTGCAGAATTTCTTTTAATTATGTTTGATATTTAGATCAATTTATTTGCTCAAATTCTTGTGAAGCATTTCTGGTGTATGTGACTCACCTGTGTTCACCTGCAGGTGGGGGATCGGGAGGGTAGGGGAGGGGGTGGAGATTTATGGGAGCCACTCACCTGTGTTCACCTGCAGGTGTCGTGGATCAGGCAGAGGGACCTACACATCCTCACTGTTGGGATCTTCACCTACACAAGTGATGACAGGTTCCAGGTGAGTCAAGCTTTATGGAAGCAGACGACTGCAGACTTAAGGTGAGTTGTCAGTTTAGTCTGTGTTGAGCTGCGCTAGAGGACACACGTCCCTGGTTAGTCACGCTCAACACTAATGATGTTAGCGCTCCATCAACACCTGTTAATGGAGCGCTAACAGCAATTGCCTGGTTAATCAGGCATTCACCGGAGAAACCTGTCCCCGTTTCGGACTGTGGGAATGAGAGGAGTTTTACAACCCACCACAGGTAGTCTGTCTCTGGTACTGGTGTTTCCTTTTATCCATAGTCCTAGTACTCATAGTCGCTTACTAGTATCCAAATTTCTCTCTAGTTCCCCAGGGCCTTTCCTAGTACCCCGAGTTCCTAGTACCAAGGGTTCTCTGCTAGTACCCCAGGTCCTTTCCTAGCATCCAAGGTTATATTTTTCATTACCTCAGTCCATTCTTATTGCCCCAGACACATCCTAGTTCCATGGGTTATTTTCATGGTATTCCTGGTCTTATCTTATTATGCCATCATGTCTTTTCCTAGTACCTAAAGTTCTACTACTACCAGGACTTTTTTTGTATTCCAGATTATTTTCTCAGTACTCTAAGTGTCGAGTAGTCTTACGTAGGGCTTCAGCTATTTTTTTTCTTGACCCAAGTATTTTACTTGTAACCCCAGGCATTTCCTAGCTAGCACCTCTTCCTTGTATCCTGGAAAATGGAATGGTAAGTGCAATGGCAAGTGGAATGGTAAGTGGGAGGGTAAGTCAGTGAAAGACCTCGGTCATAGACCCAGACCTCAGGTTAACAGGTCAACATGACAAAAAAAACCCGCGTCAGGAAACGTTTGTGAAAATACTTAATGTGAACGCATTTGGATGCGAGTGACACGAATCCTGGAACCAGTTATAACGCTCAGAACTGTGTGACACAGCATGGTGGAGACCACTGTGCATCAGGCGGAGTCAGGATCCGTCAGCGCTCCCTGACTCACAGAAAGTAGCACTGGAAGCCCAGTATAGAATAAAAAGGCAGAGTACAGAGACTGGAACAAAATGTATATAAACCGCGAAAAGGAGAATGAAATTTCTAACGACATTTCGGTCCGACTTGGACCAGTTAATGGCCTAAGTCGTACCTAAACTTCGTCAAAAGTTACATTCCAGGAAGTGCGGGTGACCTGAACACTCAAAACTGGCTATATAAATCGAATTATTTTTCCACAAGATCGAGACTTCTGCAAATATCACCTGGAATGTGTTAGATATATCAACTGCAAGACACACACTGCTGCAGGACATACACTGCTGCAGGACATACACTGCTGCAGGACACACTGCTGCAGGACACACACTGCTGCAGGACATACACTGCTGCAGGACATACACTGCTGCAGGACATACACTGCTGCAGGACATACACTGCTGCAGGACATACACTGCTGCAGGACATACACTGCTGCAGGACATACACTGCTGCAGGACATACACTGCTGCAGGACATACACTGCTGCAGGACATACACTGCTGCAGGACATACACTGCTGCAGGACATACACTGCTGCAGGACATACACTGCTGCAGGACATACACTGCTGCAAGACATACACTGCTGCAGGACATACACTGCTGCAGGACATACACTGCTGCAGGACATACACTGCTGCAAGACATACACTGCTGCAGGACATACACTGCTGCAGGACATACACTGCTGCAGGACATACACTGCTGCAGGACATACACTGCTGCAAGACATACACTGCTGCAGGACATACACTGCTGCAGGACATACACTGCTGCAAGACATACACTGCTGCAGGACATACACTGCTGCAGGACATACACTGCTGCAGGACATACACTGCTGCAAGACATACACTGCTGCAGGACATACACTGCTGCAGGACATACACTGCTGCAGGACATACACTGCTGCAAGACATACACTGCTGCAGGACATACACTGCTGCAGGACAAACACTGCTGCAGGACACAAACTGCTGCAGGACATTGCTGCAGGACACACACTGCTGCAGGACACACACTGCTGCAGGACACACAGTGCTGCAGGACATACACTGCTGCAGGACACACACTGCTGCAGGACATACACTGCTGCAGGACACACACTGCTGCAGGACACACACTGCTGCAGGACATACACTGCTGCAGGACACACACTGCTGCAGGACATACACTGCTGCAGGACACACACTGCTGCAGGACATACACTGCTGCAGGACACACACTGCTGCAGGACATACACTGCTGCAGGACACACACTGCTGCAGGACAAACACTGCTGCAGGACACACACTGCTGCAGGACATACACTGCTGCAGGACATACACTGCTGCAGGACACACACTGCTGCAGGACAAACACTGCTGCAGGACATTGCTGCAGGACACACACTGCTGCAGGACACATACTGCTGAGGACACACAGTGCTGCAGGACATACACTGCTGCAGGACACACACTGCTGCAGGACATACACTACTGCAGGACATACACTGTTGCAGGACACACACTGCTGCAGGACATACACTGCTGCAGGACACACACTGCTGCAGGACATACACTGCTGCAAGACACACACTGCTGCAGGACATACACTGCTGCAGGACACACACTGCTGCAGGACATACACTGCTGCAGGACACACACTGCTGCAGGACATACACTGCTGCAGGACACACACTGCTGCAGGACATACACTGCTGCAGGACACACACTGCTGCAGGACACACACTGCTGCAGGACACACACTGCTGCAGGACACACACTGCTGCAGGACACACACTGCTGCAGGACAAACACTGCTGCAGGACATTGCTGCAGGACACACACTGCTGCAGGACACATACTGTTGCAGGACACACAGTGCTGCAGGACATACACTGCTGCAGGACACACACTGCTGCAGGACATACACTACTGCAGGACATACACTGTTGCAGGACACACACTGCTGCAGGACATACACTGCTGCAGGACACACTGCTGCAGGACATACACTGCTGCAAGACACACACTGCTGCAGGACATACACTGCTGCAGGACACACACTGCTGCAGGACATAGACTGCTGCAGGACAAACACTGCTGCAGGACACAAACTGCTGCAGGACATTGCTGCAGGACACACACTGCTGCAGGACACACACTGCTGCAGGACACACAGTGCTGCAGGACATACACTGCTGCAGGACACACACTGCTGCAGGACATACACTGCTGCAGGACATACACTGCTGCAGGACACACACTGCTGCAGGACATACACTGCTGCAGGACACACACTGCTGCAGGACATACACTGCTGCAGGGCATACACTGCTGCAGGACACACACTGCTGCAGGACACACAGTGCTGCAGGACATATACTGCTGCAGGACACACACTGCTGCAGGACAAACACTGCTGCAGGACACACACTGCTGCAGGACATACACTGCTGCAGGACAAACACTGCTGCAGGACACACACTGCTGCAGGGGATTGCTGCAGGACACACACTGCTGCAGGACACACACTGCTGCAGGACACACAGTGCTGCAGGACATACACTGCTGCAGGACACACACTGCTGCAGGACATACACTGCTGCAGGACAAACCCCCTGCTGCAGACATACTCTGCTGCAGGACAAACACTGCTGCAGGACACACACTGCTGCAGGACATACACTGCTGCAGGACACACACTGCTGCAGGACATACACTGCTGCAGGACACACACTTCTGCAGGACATACACTGCTGCAGGACACACACTGCTGCAGGACATACACTGCTGCAGGACACACACTGCTGCAGGACAAACACTGCTGCAGGACATACACTGCTGCAGGACACACACTGCTGCAGGACATACACTGCTGCAGGACACACACTGCTGCAGGACATACACTGCTGCAGGACACACACTGCTGCAGGACATACACTGCTGCAGGACACACACTGCTGCAGGACATACACTGCTGCAGGACACACACTGCTGCAGGACATACACTGCTGCAGGACACACACTGCTGCAGGACACACAGTGCTGCAGGACACACAATGCTGCAAGACACATAGTGCTGCAGGACACGCAGTGCTGCAAAACACACAGTGCTGCAGGACACACAGTGTTGCAGGACACACAGTGCTGCAGGACACACAGTGCTGCAGAACACACAGTGCTGCAGGACACAGTGCTGCAGGACACAGTGCTGCAGGACACACAGTACTGCAGGACACACAGTGCTGCAGGACACAGTGCTGCAGGACACATAGTGCTGCAGGATACACAGTGCTGCAGGAAAACAAAGCTGCAGGACACACAGTGCTGCAGGACACACAGTGCTGCAGGACACACAATGCTGCAGGACACAGAGTGTTGAAGGACACAGTGCTGTATGACACACAATGCTGCAGGACACATAGTGCTGCAGGACACAGAGCTGCAGGACACAGTGCTACAGGACATAAAGTGCTGCAGAACACACATTGTTGCAGGACACACAGTGCTGCAGGACACACAGTGCTGTAGGACACACAGTGCTGTAGGACACACAGTGCTGTAGGACACACAGTGCTGCAGGACACACAATACTGCACGACACACAGTACCGTAGTTAACGAAGAACCTACAAGACACACAGTGCTGCAGGACACACAGTGCTGCAGGACACACAGTACTCCAGGACACACAGTGCTGCAGGACCCACAGTGCTGCAGGACACACAGTGCTGCAGGACACACAGTGCTGCAGGACACACAGTGCTGCAAGACACACAGTGCTGCAGGACACACAGTGCTGCAGGACACACAGGGCAGCAGGACACACAGTGCTGCAGGACACACAGTGCTGCAGGACACACAGTACTGCAGCATAAACAATACTGCAGGACACACAGTACTGCAGGACACACAGTTTTGCAGGACACACAGTACTGCAGCATAAACAATACTGCAGGACACACAGTACTGAAGGGCACACAGTACTGCAGAACACACAGTAC